CCTGTAGCCTTTATCTTTGTGGTGACAGCTACAATGCCCAATAGCATCCTGGCCCGAAGATCCACCATGACCATGACCTACATAATGACCATTCAATTCCCCTTACTTTTCTGACCCAGTAGCCAATGACTCCATAAACTCTCAGTTTCCTTTTGTTACAAGAAAAAGGAGAGAACAGCTCCTCTGTAGCCACCTTTCTCCTGCTCCCCGATGGAGCAAAAATGCCCAAGAGGACATCACTATCCCCTGAAACAAGAAAAGCAGGCCACAAAATACTTGCAGGAATACAATGAAACCGTTCCGTCCTATTTTATTGTTGGCTTCATTTTGATGGTAAGTGTATTTATTATCACAGTTCTGCCATGATGTGCGTTACTGCTTCCCATCCTTTTCCATGTATTGATTACACAGCAGAAGAGAAAGTTGGAATCTTAGAAAACTTTCTGTACTCTGTATAGAAATCTCAGAATCACTAGATGTCAAAATCTGCTTCTCAAAATCTGAAACTATTATTATTGTATTTACAACAGTGTTTCACATTTGCTTGATTTTTAAGCCTGGTTATTTTAATTCCTTCTAACCAGATCCAAGAAACAATCCATCCAAATTTATAAGCAGAGTAGCTAAGGCATTTTCTTAACACCTTAAATTTAAGTAAAATTCCTGAGGTTGGGAAGCTTTCAAATTTAAATGTTCCACAACTGGTGTGAGCACTGTACCACAGGGAGGATTATGAAACCATCATTAACATGTATATTAAAAATATGTATTTTATTTCCAATCTATATGATAATTTCTATTTGCTTTTTAAAAATCTTCTGAAAAGCCTAACTTTTTGAAGCAAATTCTCCAAGAAAGGTACCAAATTACGCTGTAACTTTGGGAATTAAGCTTCCCTCATTTATTGGCACAGTTTTTGAAGAACTTGATTCATTAGCATTAACCGGGCTGCAGTCATGAGAGCAAAGTCAGGATGCTGAGAGAGATCATAGAATGGCTTGGATTGGAAGGGATCTCAAGGATCATCAAATTCCAACTCTGCTGTCACAGGTAGGGTTGCCAGCTGCTATATCAAGTACCTGATCAGATTGCCCAGAACCCCATCCAGCCTGGCCTTAAACACCTCCAGGGATGGGGCATCCACAACTGTTCTGGGCAACCTGTTCCATCATCTCAACACTCTCTCAGTAAAACACTTCCCCGTGACATCTAATCTAAATTTCTCTTCCTTTAGTGTAAAACTATTTCCCCTTGTTCTATCATTATCTACTCACGTAAAAAGTTGATTTCCCTCATGTTTTATAAACTCCCTTTAAATAATGGAAGGCCAAAACGAGGTCCCACTGCAGCATTCCCTTTTCCAGGCTGAACAAGCCCAGTTTCTCCAGCCTGTCTTCATAGGAGAAGTGCTCCAGTCCTTGAATCATCTTCTTGGCCATTCTCTGGACTCTCTCCAAAAAGTCAACATCTTTCCTGTGTTGGGGGTCCCAGACTGGAGCAGTACTCCAGTTCACAAGGGCAGAATAAAGGGGGTCAATCACCTCCCTCATCTTGTTGGCCACCGCTCTTCTGATGGAACCCAGGATACGACTGGATATCCAGGCTGCAAGCGCACACTGCTGGCTCATGTTAAGTTTTTCATCTACCAGGATTCCTAAGTCCTTGACAGCATGGCTATTCACAAGGAGTTCTTCTTCCAGTTTGCATACAAATCTGAGATTACCTCGACCCAAATGCAAAACCTTGCATTTGCTCTGTTCAATCTCATTAACAAGGGCCCACCTTTTGAGTTTCCAATACCTCTGGATGGCATCCCTTCCTTCTGCTGTATCTGTTGCACCCTGTCTGATTGGCATTTGGGAAATCAGATCTGAGCATCATGTTTAGTCTCAGTACCCCCAGCACATGCTGACAGATCCTGGTTGGGGTGAGTCCAACTAAGATCATCAAGATGAAGCAGGTGACATTAGGGCACAGTCTGTGAAAACTGCATTTGTTTAGCCTTAAGAACAAAAGGCAAAGGGCGGGGGATAATATAGTTACCTATAAGGGCCTAATAGGAGGACTTTTTTGTTTTGTTTTGTTTTGTGATGGGGCTTGTTGCTGAAATTGTAATTTCTCACAATGCCTTGCTCAGTTTGTTTCTTTTATCGTTTACAGAATACATCTTATAAATATTATTAAGAAGTCGAAAATGGAACTATGGCCCCATCTCATGGAAACTGAACAGCTGTTTCTGAGAAGCATCAAGAAGACTCTAGAGCTAACATACTAGCAGGAAATCAAAAGATACAAGTGGTATTATCAACTTTACAGGACACAATTTTCTTCAGGTATTCTGAGTTAACACCTAATTCCTTTTGCTCCATGAAAACGAAAACAACATTCTTTGGTGACCATAAAATCTATTCCAAAATGTTCCAGCTCCTAATTCGAGTGGTAAATATTAATCTGTAATTTCTATTCTGCAAAATAAAATATATAACCAGTTTTATTTCTCTGAGATTTGTTAACTGCCTTTGGAACAGCTTACAGCTAACACTTAGGATGATTTTAAATGCACTCAATTTATCTAATGAAGCGTCCCTGTAACTTATATTGTAATTTATCTGATGTTTTTTAGACAAAATAAAACTTGCATTTCCAAAGTTTTCTAATGCAGGTTTCTTTAGTCTTTGTACCTTCACCTCTCTCTTCGATACATTTGGTTAACATCTTTTAAAGTATGCTTACCCTTTAGACAATTACAGAAGAAACTGTGATATTAGAACAAATATTGAATGCCACTTATGTCAGTTCTCAGCAAAACCGCTGTGGTTGCCATTCCCTAGTTTAATCATACCACAGATGCTACATGCCTTCATTTTATAGTCCCCTTTGTTTGCAAAGAGATGCCTTCTACATACATTACCCATCCACTGATTTTTTCATTTCTTGGAGAATGAAATAAAAATGGTATATTTCTTGCAGTGATCCTTCTTTAAGTGTAATACAAATGGCTAAATGGAAGGCTAGTATTCAGTTCTTTCCATCTTTACTAATTTTCTGGAAATGAACAAAAGTTATTCGTTTCCTGACTACCTGCTCTACCAGCTACAAAAATTCTGTGCTGGACTCTTGCCTCATGAACTCACATGTCACTCTGATACTCACACCTACACCTCACATAATATACAGTGAGTGACCAGGAATGAAGGTAGCATTTACAACAAGAGAAATGTGTTTGTTGCTGCTTACTACTGCAGCGGCATCATAAGTATTAAATATCAAATTTCTTTCTTTTTTTGTCTTTCTGGGACCACTGAAAAAATGCAATTTCTGTAGTTTTCCTAGTATCACAATAAACTATGTGCCACAGACAAGATTTGGATTTTTGTGGCAATTACACAACCTTATGAAACTTTTGTTTGAATTATCTTCCAAAAGATAAAGTCTTTAAAGAGCAGATGTACTGTTTTATGCACATTTTCAACATAATTCAGGATCCTTACCATGAATGTTATCTTATCTAACAATTAGCATTCTAACTCAGTTCCTGACTGGAATTATCTCACTATACATACTTATTCCAGTCAAGTATACTACCCTGCCATTTGAAAACTCTCAATAATACTTTTATTTTTACACTAAAGTTTCTTTTTTTAGCTGTATCAATTTTCAAATATTAAAGGCCACACAAAAAAATGCAAGCTTACCCTTGTAGCTATGCCCCTTTCCAACCATGAATAATGATGGAACTAGTTCTGGATAGAAACTTATATCTTTTAAACAAAGTAACAAAGCTGCTTTGAAATTTGCTTGCAAGTTTTTAAGCATAATAGACTCAAATATGTTAGTTTTTCCACCTAGTAACAAAGAAACCCACATTTCTAGAAATCAAAGCAAGCAGGGCAAATGCTTGTCCATTCTGCTAAATTCTTGAATTTATGCCTTCCTAACTGATTCGTGTGCAGTGCTAAGGGCAATAGAATGGAGTAGAGTTCATCACAGGATGCCAAAAACACAATGGGCTTCACTCCCGGAGATGCAACATCTAGTACATGCAATCATGAAGCACTTAGAGCAGTTCAACTAAAAAGATCTCTAAATTGACAACTACAATTAGTAGAAAGTATTTCAACAGAAATTACATGAAAGCATAAGAACTTAATACTTCCTTGTTCTCACTGATGTGAATAAGACTGCAATTACACTTTTTCATGGCTGCATCACAAAGGCAGCTTCACGGTCTTTCTTGACCCCAGCAGAATATGTCCTCTGTCTTTGTTGGTTGTTTACAAGCAATGAACCTCCAGCTCACAGCTGCAGTTACAGCTTTTGAGTGGATGACCTTGTTTCCTACTATAGAAGTTCATGACAATCTTCAGGTCATTCAGCTCACTCAGATCACTAAACTGACTCACTACTCTAAACAAAAGTCAAAAAGTCATTGCTTTCTTTTGTCTTGAAGCACATATTTCTTCACACAGAAGCTGTAAGAATTAAAAACTTGCCATGAACTTTAGGGTCACTATCTTCTAGCTTTCAGAAAATACTTATTTTGCCACAAAAGAAAACTGTGGGAGAAAAGTAAATACTGAAGTAAGAAAACATATGTGAGCAAACTAGAGATTTCTCTCTTTCTCTCTTTCTCTCTTTCTTTCATACAGGCAAACAAAACACAGATACATAGACATGAGGAAGAAAAGATTTTTCTACATGAAACAATGAAACGTTTAAAGTAATTTGACCTTCAAATATTAAATTCAGGTTATAATAAGTAAATACTTGCAATATCTTTTTCTATTCAACTTCATTTAAATGTTTTAGATTTCATGATGGGCAAATATAGGATGCTTAAATAGGTTAAAATATTTTGCCAAAACAAGATTGGTTTTATGCAAGGATTACTTGAGCAGCTATAAAAGTGCTTAGCAATAAGGTATCTGACAGAACAAAAGGAAATTGCATTGACAAAGCATTATCATCAGAGTACATATAAGAAGGAGGAAAATACTTACAGATTTTTTATGTCTACTGCTCCACGAAATGCCTTCCTGGGTATGGCTTGAATCTGATTTTCACTAAGATCACTATGAAAAAGAAGATTAAATGAAACTTAAAATCTGCCACATATATTTCTGTGTACAACAACAAAAAAGATTCTGTCAGCAAACAATTCCAGCCATTATCATCCAATAAATGTTCCTGATGAAACTTACATTATTATTTGAACTGATTTGCAATTGAAGAAAAATAAGTAGCAAAAATACTCAAATTAGTTTATCTTTGTTGCACTACGTAGCTCCCTTTCAAAATAACAGTAATTACGCCAAACCTAAGTAGAAGCATTACACAGTTTAATAATGCAGGCCAAACTGTTTTCATTTTTAACTGATTGATTTTAATTTTCAACTCATTCCAAGCACATGGCATGAAATCACACCATTTGGAAGCCTTCAGAGATGCATCTACCTACAGAAAGTAAGAAATTAGATGAAGAAGCTTGCTTAAGCCTCTGAATGCAATTCAGAAACAAATCAGAAGTGTACAGACTGTATTTTCACTAGAATTCTTTCTTAGGTCACAGAGAAGTTCTGCTGTGAATGGCTACATTTTGCTTTGCTAAAACCAAAACACGAGCTTCACTCCACAACATCAAGTACTCCAAAGCATCCTCCACAAGCACTCCAATCCCTAACAGTAATGTTTTCAATATCTCGTATTTTAAAGACAATTTTTAGATAACCTTTTCTGGGAGATTTTAGGAGAAATATTGCAAAATGGTGCACAGAAGTAAGACGTAGCTGAGATGAAATGAATAAGCAGGAATCATTCAGTTGATTAAATACAATCATGCTTTCGACATGATCTTTTTCTGAAGTGTAATCTAGCATGAGTTCATATTTCTATTTATTAGAAATCACTCCTGGAGATTTTTTTCAAATTTATGAACTCAAAGAATTGTTTGAGGACTTTATAAAACTCCATGCTACCTGACTCCAGAAAAATTTACATCAATATAATATCTTTGAAAATAATGCTATGTACATTGTCAGCAAGTTTGTTTTACTGGAGGCATTTTCAGTTTATGGAAAACCACATTCTGTATACTAAATCTTTCACACTTTGTGCATATAACTGTACTCCTGTATCTCGCAACTTAGCTGTTATTAACAGTATGTAGAAAAAGGAGCATCTGTGAGCTATGATTTAATTTTCAGTCCACCTAGGTAATCCTGACATAGAATATGACTGCATTGCTGACAATAAATTCAAATAATATAAATAAAAAGGCAGCCTTCAGCATATGTTACATTGATGATTTAACGACTGACTTCCTTTAATTCTATCACAAATATAAATAGTAAACATCTATGTATATGGTTATATTTAAGCAACTAAAACATTTTACCAATACATAAATTGAGCATAAAGTGGTTTAAAATAGTGATTTCTATCATGATCTAGGATTAATTGATTATACAGATGTATGTATATATCCACGTAAACCACTGTCATATTCATAAATATATACTGCTGCAGGTAATGGATAACGGTGCATTACACTATTTATGATGGTTAATTGATTATCATCATTCACCATTTTGTATAATTTTAAAAGTTGGAGATGAACAAAATTGAGACACTTGTGTAAATTATTTCAAAAATATGAATAGTCAGAATCAGAGAATGGCTTGGGTTGAAAGAGACCTCAGAGATCATCCAGTTCCAACCCGCTGCCTTAGGCACGGCTTCCATCCACCAGATAAGGCTGCCCAAGACCTCACCCAACCTGACCCTGAATACCTCCAGGCAGCCTGTGCCAGGGCCTCACCACCTTCTCTGTGAAAAACTTGCCCATGACATTTAATCTAAATCTCTCCTTGTTTAGTAAAAACATTTCCCCTTGACCATCACTAGCTATCTACATAAAAAGTTGATTTTCCTCCTGTTTATAATATCCCTTTAAATATGAGGTATCCTCATAGCCTTCTCTTCTCTTTCTTTCCGTAACTAAATACACATCTTAGCACAAGTGCAAAATAAGTATCTGTCACAGCTATTAAGCCTGGTTTTTCTCTAAACCATGCATTGAGACTGTGTGTATGCATATGTGAATGAAAGCCAGATGCATCCACAGCATCATCTTCATGCAGCACAAGGTCATGCAGACTAGTGTCCCCTACTGATTTTCGCAAATTTGAAATGTAAACTACTTAATTGAAAAGGTTCCCAAACTTTCTGTGAAAGGCACTTTAAAAAACCTCTCTAGATGTCTCTAGACCTCTCCCAACATTCTTCTCCAAGTTAGCCAGTCTTTTTCCAAGATAATTCTTTTTGCAATGCATCTGTTGGGTTGTGAAACGTTCTTAGAATTGTTTATGTAACAGAATTTAAATCATTCCTTCATTGCAAAATTCTCTATTAAAAAAAATACCATTTTCAACACAAAAGCTATGCCTACTTATAATAGGAAAGTTCTTAGTAATTATTTATTGATTGCTTCAGGTTTTCATCTGCTCAGTTTAAAAAGGTTTTCTTATAAAAACCTTGAGGGGCTTAACCAAACATTTAACTTTTTATTCTTGCATAAATTACATCTGTGTTTCACAGTGCTTAACCATGAGTCAGTAACAAGTTGCTGTGTGGTCTTTGTAAGATATTTTAACTCATTCCTCTGCAATTCTTAGACTGGTCACAAGAAACAAACAAAACAAAAACAGAGCCACATGTATCACAGGTTGGCTTTTGGGAAACGGGGCAAAAAAACTATTTTGTAGATAAAACTGGACAATTTTGCTGGTCATTCTGTTTCACTGACTTGACTTTGCAGTCTATATTCTGCAATAACAAAAGGTGCAAATCTTCTTTTCAGCCTGTTAGGTGTTTTCATGCACTAAGAACTCTGTAGGCTCCATTTCCCATTTCAAAAAGAAGGACCATTTCAGCACGTGTGTACACACACCAAGAACCACTTATGTTGGTGCTTGATACTTGTAAAGGAAAGATACTCTATGAATTTAAATAAAACTGAACACGCAACTTTTACAAGAACAAATCTAAATTTCTGAAAGGATAGGCATGATCCTATCTTCACATTAGAAATCAGCAATATGATCAAGATTTTATACAAGAAATTATTCTTTACAGTTATAGCAGCCTGAGACTTCATATAAAAAAACCAGCATAGTTGTGGAACATCAGAACTTATTCAAAATGTTTTGTATAAAACTTGATTGGAAGAGTCAAGGTTATCCTATACAGTTTTTGAAAGTAAGTACAATGATATAATGACGTTTTACTGAATTCAACTTATGTAGATCCTAGTTGTCCTATGGACCACTCCACTAAATTGTCAATGCAGTAAGTCATTTCTAGAGACATATATTCCAAATTATTAACTCTTAAGCTATTGACCCTTTCAGAAAATCACTGAGTCCTAGCTTTGAGGGCTTCATGCTCATCATCCACTGGCTTGCCACAGAATCCTCCATCACCCAGTCTTCAATGTGCTGACTCAATCATTTTTGAGCAAAAAGTTTTTCAGTGCCAGAACAGTTTTATATAACTTCAGTATCTTTGAGTGCAAGATGTCCTCAAAGGCTATTGTGAGGCTTGTTTCACCAAGGCAAGAGATGACATGCATACTGGAGTAACTGCCAGATTCTTGTACAAAAATCCACCTAGGCAGGTGAGGCTCTTGTCAGAGAGGACTTACATAAGTGCCTGTGCTGCTCTAGGTATAATTGCACCATCCTCTTGGTAGTGGCTGGTTTCTTTACAGTATCTCTTGGCTGTGTATATGTAAAGCATTTTGTTGAGTTGTAATATTCAGGCTGCAACTTCATTTTCTCAAAAACAAAACAAGAAAACAAAATCCATACACCAAACCAAGCTGCACTAAATGAGGATACACTGAGAACTGACAAGGAAGTCTGAACTTTTGCCCAACTATATTGATTCTTTGAAAAACTTGTGTACATTTTAATTTTTCCTACAGAGGTCAGGTATATATTTCTAAATTAGAGACTAAATGTGTTGCACATAAGTAAAATTACTTTTATTAACATATCACTCAAATGATAAAAGCAGAGATATGTTATGATATGTCCAAGATCACTGATTAAGTAAGCCCTGGAATTATCATGCTTGCACAAAATATAATTCCCTTTTAAGCAAACCAGGTCAGGCAATTTACATACAGTGCATACGGATGCCTCATCTTTTAAACCTATTTCAAAGATAAAGGATTTAAATGTGGTATTCTCAATGACACAACAGTAGAAGTTGACTAGTTTGAAATTATGCCTCAAAGAATGTAGATTTATGTTTTTCATAAACTGATGAAACAAGAAAAAAATGTAAAAATTAAAATAGTAAGCCTCTTAACTCCACCTCCCAAAGAATCATTTTATGTATTCAGTTAATTATTTTTTTTTCTACAGAATATATTAGTAAACATGATGCATAATGCTTTGTGGAAATAGCAGAAAGACCTTGCCAAAACCTTGTTTCTATTGAAACCTTCCTAAGAAACAGGATGAAACCGGTATATTTCTATTTATTGAATTCACTGGTTAGTAAGTAGAAGTATATCACAAAACAAAACAAAACAAAAAAACTAAAAACCTCCTAACATTTTAAGTTCCTAACAGTATTGGTATTAATCTCTCACACACACAAATCAATTCTTACAGAAAGACTGCAAAACTTATATATGCTATTGTTTCTTTATCAAAGGGTAAAGCCCTCAGATAACCTGATATTAATGAGCCTGATAGAGTGCTTCAGCTCTTAAAAAATGCAGAGAGTACTGCATTGCAGCTATTTTATTACTCACCATATACGGCTCCCAGTTGAATATTCCATTCAACCTTAAAAGGAGTGCTAAATTTTTAATTATATAAATTGAAACACCACACATAATATCTATATCATACACTGTTAAGATATCACAGTTTTCTTGTGCGGCTAAAACCATGTGTTTGTTCTAAAACAATAAATCTTCTGAAGATGGCAAACCTGCTTGTAAATTTAATTACTTGTAATTTTATTTTCCTCTATGGTTTAACCTCCCTCAGTGTCTGACCAGGCATATCATAAATCTATACTGCCATTCCCTACTTTGTAAAATACTGAGTACTAGGAATGAATGATGTGTCCTGATTTTTAAAGGAAAAGGCAGAAATATCGACTCAAGGTACTGAATACTCATCAGTGTACTTATGCCAGTTCTATAAACAATTCAGAAGGTGACTATTCATATTCAGGGTCCTGAATAATTATATAAATACTTCTGAAATTAATTAAGCAAGCTCGCTTGGTATTTCTCCCACCAGCAAACAATACATTCAACAAGAGCTAACCATATTCTGCACAAAACCACACACGCCCACATAAAGCAAAACACCGCAGATAATGAGACTACAGAGCTATTATCTAAAGGAAAAAGCAAAACAAACATTTCAGTAAAACTATTTGACTGAAAATCAAATTTATGAGTTTGGATGTGGGACAAGATGATCACTGATGAGTATCTATAGGATGATCACTGAGACCTACGAGGCCCTGCACATGTCCCAGCATTCTTCTCCAGTAAGTGTGCTTACCGGGGCATCTCATCTGACATGACATATTCCAGTGCAAGATCCAGCTTTGCACCAGCCCTTATTTATTCCCCAACTTTGATGTTAGGGAGTGTAGAGTCAGCCTCACAGGGAGGCAGCAGCAGGTAAACCTAAGCTCCTGGAGGAAAACAAGAATATGCTGCAATGTGGCAGCATAATGGAAATGAGCCAGAGCTAGAAGTTTCAACTGTGTCATGAGAAATGGATGCAGAGATTACTTTATATTATCACTAAACTTTGGAAAAACTCTCAGATCCAAAATAATGTTATTTTGAGGGTTTTGAGAGAATGCTGACAGCAGCTTCCATTTGCAGAAGTTGTTTCGGCAGTGGGTTTCCCAGTGTGAAGAGGACAAAATGGCAAAGTAACTTTTTCTGTCCTGCTGGATTCCTGATTTGGGTTTCACTCCTAAAATGCCAGACAGGTTTCCATTTTCTGAATTTGAAATAGAAATATATATTTCAATTCCATATAATCTGGAAAAGATTGTGCTATAATGGAAAACTTTTGATCAAATTTTTGTTTGTTCATGAATCTTCATTAATTGTCACACAATCAGGAAACTATATTCTACAGCTGCAAAATTCCAGCATGACAAGGACTTTAATCTAAGAACTCTTCTGGATGCTACAGAAACATGCTTTGGCAACCTGTATTTTTATTATATTAGGATAACATATATAAGCTGGAAAATCATTTTCAGAACTTCATAGTGGGAATCAAACCAATGTGAAAAGCATCCAGCAATAGAGGCACTGCTGAAATATAGTGTTATGGTCTAAGTGCAAGGAGAGCATAACGGAGAGATAATTCTACAAATAACAGCTCAGTTGAACTGAACTTAATAAAGCCTGGAAATCAAATTTCCATCATGGCAGAAATGTACCACATTATAGCAAGAGCCTACTAAACAAACATGAATGTTTTGATCTATAACTCAATGCTTTTCTTTTTATCTCACATTCAGCAAACATATTACTGTATTCAAATAAGTAAGTACCTTTCCTATCAGCCAAATGAGGCTTATCCAGTTAATTGTTACAATACTGACATATGTTTGGCTTTATGGAGTTGCAATATTACAAATTGCAGTACTGCATCACTTATTTATGAAGATAATCTTATACTCAAATAGGTTCTTATGTCCTTTTATCAAAGCCTAGCTTTTTGGCAGGCTTACAAATCAACGAAGACAAACAGAATAAAGAAATCTTTTAAAACCATATGCTTAACAGTTCAGCCTAATATCTGGTCCTTAAAAGGCAAAACAAACAGAAAAACCAACAAAACAAAACAAAAACTCTACTGTAACATTATTGTTTTATTCTCTGACTACAAAATAAACTATTTAATATCCTATTTACTTAAATGATCCTTCTTCTACTCTTCAGTAAAGCATCCAGTGCAGATATTTCCCTTGTTAATGAAGATGCAAGTGATACCACACTATCAACAGCGGCCAACATTTATCTCCTTGCGATGATTAAAATCCTGAATTATAAAATCCAGCATTAGTTCCATAAATCATTTCCTCTAGTCATATCACTCCCACCTGCTTCCCATAAGAGAAACGAAATTTTGCATCTGAGAAAGGTACTATTAACTTTCTTTTACAGACAGAGAAATTGAAGTAGTGTGTTATCATTATGTATCAGTACCATGCTGAAGAGCACAAAGCAGATGAGAAGAGTTTAGATGATGGAATTGCAGGTTCTCTTTGCATTTCGCACTGATTTCCATTTGCTCTGTAGAATCCCTAAAGACGTGTATGCTGTAAACAGTAGGTACAGTCTATTCACACACAAAAGCAGAGTCACTCCCTGTGCCATGGTGAGCTACAACATCCAACTAAATATTTCATACTGCACAACACAGAGCAATCACCACTGTAATATGGGCAGAATGATTTGAGTCACTACAATTCTCATGATAAGGAATGAGTCTTCTGTTTTTCTAAGAATATATAGATTAAACTTCCCTGCTTATTTTCATATCTGTTATTTTCTGTTATTTCAAATTATAGATTTATCCATATAGATCTTTTATAGCTATTACTATACGGTTATTTGTATTATTTAAACAGCAGGTATTTTCATCTATTTTATCTACCTATTTATTAAACATAGATACAAGACATTCATTCACAAAGCACAGAGCAAACACGGATAAAAACTACTGAACTACAATAGAAATACTGATAACCTGCTAATCTACAGTTTATAAGCAACTTCTACCTTATTTTTTAGGTTAAGTCATCAGAAATTGAAATGATGACAAACAATGCTAGACTGTTTTTGTTTGAGAAGCAGACAAACTCCACATACCTATGCAGCATACTGACTTGTTCATAATTTTGAGTATTACTAATTAGTCATTTCTTCACAAAGAAAACAGCATAGAGTGCAATTACCAGTCCTACCTACTTCTTAGTAGGATCACATTTTGGCTTTGGAATAGACAAAATCCTTCTATTGGCATGGAAGTCAATCTATGGGCCACAGAATCAATCCTACTTCACAACGTCTCCAAAAGTGCACTTAAATCAATTTGTATACTCTGGTATCATTTGAAAATAATTGCTTCAGGAGAGTTGCCATTTATTCTCCATTGTGCTCGAGTGACCTAGTGTGACAAATGCTCATTGTGAAATAAAATAGGAGTATTAGGGCCACACATGTATTTCAGTGGAGTCTTAGAAATTATTTTTGAAAAGGCAAGTAGCCTTTATTAGTCTGCTCCACTAAATTAATATGTAATTCTGTTTAAGATTTAAAAAAAAAATAGAAATAATTACATGTTGCAGTTCTTAGAGAGGAATGGACCACCCACAATTTCAAAAGGAGAAAATTCTAATGCTACTTCAAATTTGGCTTCTGATAGAAGGTCCTGCAAAGAAAAACTTGAAGTCCTTTAAAAACATCACCATAAAAAAAAAAAAAAAAAAAAAAAAAGAGTGAGAGAAAAAGAAAGAGAAATGGAAAGGGAAATTCACAGATACTCCATAACTAACAAACTCTTAAACTGGTCAAGCTGAAGGAAGATACTGTTCCTTGTTTTGCATTTCTTAAAAATTTCTTAAAACCCTTACGGATGTCCGAGAGAGCAGCACAGCTGTGTAGTGTGAGGGTATTGTTTACCAACAACCCCACCTGGAGTTCCAAAAGTCAGAGTGAGACATGACTTTTACATACACAGAAGTACATGTTGCATTTAACACTTCAAAAATTCTGGTTTATTATAGACAATAAGTTCTAAGACATATATCCTTCTGCAGCATACACACTATTCACGCATCTTTTTTCCCTTCTTTTTACTTATCCAGGTTGAAATTAAAGGCAAAATAAAAAATCATGTTAGCTCTTATGTGCTATCACTTCACATAGGATCACAAAAGATAATTTCTTTGCAAGAAAAGAGTGAAGGTTCTGCTATTTTAATTCCATCAGCCTGTGATAGGAGATTCAATGATTAATTTTTAATATAATATCTCACTTAGTAGATTTGAAAAGACATTACAAGCTAAGGATTCAGAATGGATAAAGCAAAATACTGCCAGGTAAAATTCACTTCTGGGAAGTGACAAACTCACCATAGGCATGGCTGAAATATCCATTTGGCTTGGTTTAGGTACTTGCTCCCATTAAGAATAGATGAGATGGCACACTTGCCTTTCCAAAAGACTTCTTCAATAGTGTCTGCAAAATCTATAACTACTGTTTTCTGTAACAAAACTTCTTTTTAGCAGGAGTTTGCAGCAGTCAATGTGTCTTTAATATTTAATTTTATTTCTCCTGCTTTGGAACTGAAAGTGTAAGCACTTTTAGGAACTGATTGAAAGATTGTCTGGTATGTTGTCTTGTTTCACTTCACCATCTATAGCCCCGTGAATTCTCTTCTGAAATACCACTCAGTGAACCATGGCAATTCTTCTCTTTGTTCAAAGTGAGCAGAGCAAATTCCTGATACAGCACCATTACTTATTGCTGCTATTGCAATACAGGTAAGTAATAATTACATCCCTAGATACAGGCGTTCTTCTCCAAATATAGGCCCATATTGTTAAGTCCAAATCTTTCCTAACAGAAAAACTAACCTTGAACACTTTGTCAAGGGGCAGCCAAGTCTTTGAGAGTAAGCTAAAAGGATCTTGCAGTTTATTAATGTTGAATGGCACTGTGCTCAGTCTTCCTTCACCTGAATTGAACAATACAATTTTAGGATTGTCTCTTGAGACAGGCTGATTGCTTAACAAGACAGATTTATTGCAGTCTTAGCTTCATACAATATATGTGCATTCACACAGTGTATGCTTCAGGCTTTGATGCTGTTGCCCATCACTGCCAAAAAGTAAAATAAAAACAGAAAGAAGGGGGGGAAAAAAAAAGCAAATTATAAAAGGATTACCATGGATGATTAAAGAAAATGACAACAGCTAAGCTAATCATAATTACAGCTTATCAAGATGACCACTATTATATCATTGTCTTCCAGTACTTCAACCATCTGCTTATACCCATCTGTCATTTTTGATACTGTAAAATTTTTTAAACTCTTTGTTTTACTTATTTTTTATTCTGTGTTTGCACAGTGCCTAGTGTACTTGGGTTTCCAGCCCAAAAACTTGTACTTTACACTGTCATCTAAACAAAACAATGGAAAGGATGTGTGTCCATATCATACTCCAGTTCACTGATAATAAATATGAAATAGAAAGAACAAGCTCCATTATTGAGTTGAGTAAACTGATTTAAAAAAAAAAAAAAAAAAAATTATTTTATTTTTTGCTTATTGTATTTCCTTTGTGTTCACAAGCTGATTTAGACAAGTTCATTAGAAGTTCCTAGGAGAAAATGAAACAGTAATCGTTGGGAGACATAAGGGCAGTTACTGATACGAATATTCCAATATTCTGGAACTAAAACTTTCCATTCACCAATATTAAAAGAATTCATAACTCTAGTTGAGCATCACAGAATTCACAAATCCCCCTGCATTCCAGTTTATGTTCAGAGCTTCAAGTATTCCGACATCTTGAGCCCACCTCCTATTTTGATATCTTTTTCAAATCACTTTCAGTGAATTTGTTTCACTCTTTTTCCTCAGAGATATGCAGAGAATAAGAATTTTGAGAGATGTGCTTTTTTTTTAATTGAAAAAGGAACTGAGAATATGATTGAGACCCCACAAGTCATACTATCTCCACACATGGGCCATTCAGAATTAAAAATCTTTTTTACAATGGTAAACAGCAGATATAAGCGATTAAAAAAACCCAAATCCTGGCGATTCCAGAATAAACCAAATCATAACCAATTTCTAATTAAATAACAATCTAAAAAAGACAATTTCAGACAAAATTCCATGTCAGAGTGCTCCTGTAAGAATCCCATTGCAGATTATAATGCTGTGGCAACAGCATGCAGACAACAGTGGCACATACGTTACCTTTAAACATTCTAGGAAAACTCATATATTAAATAATCCATGTAAAATTTAACTGCTATTTAAAGAAAATCTTAAATTGTATTTCTCCCTCCGCCACATTTATCTGTTTTTCCCCTCAAGTTCAGCTGCTTGCACTAATGGTAATTTTCATTAAGACATTCATGCTTAAAATCCACAGAGCTCAGAAATTTTTGTTCCAGGATTGCACTTTTCTACTGAAGCCATCACAGAGTTTCTGTACTTAAGTGCAACTTTAAAACCTAATCTCTCCTCCTTCCTTCATATTTTTTCCACTATCATTGGGCTTTCCAGTCTTTCTTCTGAATCAATTCCATGTCAAATTCTTTCCCTTCAACCATTTTTCCATCTCCTTTGAAGTTGCTGTTGGAGCTCCTGCTCAAGTAAATATCCAGAAAATCTTCCTGAGAAGCCTTGAAAAGTAGGAGAAATGGGAGGGGGAAAATGGTTTGTGTGTCTGGTGGGTGGGAATCTTTTTGTTGCACCTTTTCTTTTTTAAGTTTTCTTGAAGAAGGGCGATTTATCTTTGCCTTCTGTGGGTAGAAGGCATTTGGATGAGGTGAATATCCTTTAAGTTATTGCAATCAAATGAGAGCACAGCATACTAAAGATGATGATGGATGATACTGATGTTGCCATTCACAGGCAATTATACACTGTTGGTGGTTTAACAGAATACTTCAGGATAGAGAGGTCTATAGAGACCAAGGAGAGTGATGGCACTGGAAATAAACATCTCAACTGAATTCTGAAATATATCACAAAATACTTAAAGACTTTCATTTGATTGCATTTTGTTTAAATTTTTACAAATTGCGTTTCAAGAAATAAACCTAAATTTTGATACAGATGATATTGCATTGATGTCAATTATGGCTATTAAAGAGAACATAAATATGTTACACAAGTAGGCTTTCTGCTAAAGCAGTCTGTGCAAGTCCATTTGTATCTCTACAGAATTCAGCAAGAGTTTTGCCAGCCACAAAATCCTAGCATATGCATCATGCAACTGCAAGAGCAGGTATCTCCATTCACTCCTCCAGCTGAGTAAGAACAGATCTCCTCTGAGAAGAGGGACAGCTCAGAACTCTGAGGTGACTAAATTTAAACGATATTTACAGAGATAGATGAGAAGGTGTAAGGATTTGTTTCTACACTGGCCCAACTGCATTAGCTATCTACTGCCTTATGGATATTTGCTCTTACGCTTATTCTTCTGTTGCAGTTCATATTACAGTATAGTGTTTTACAGACCTGAAGCTTCCAACATCTGTAGCAAAGGTCCCAGAAATTGATTTAGAAACTGACATACAAGCTTATCCAATCCTGCTTATACACAAGGTTATATATCTCTGTTGGAAGACTGACACATGGTCCCCATATGTACTGGCAATAACGCAAGCCTGCCAGGCACAGATGTACTTACAGCTCCAGAGAGATGCAATCTAATGATGGATAGGAATAACCCAATCATGCTAACATTTGTATTTGCAAACCATACCTAGCACTACAGACAATATGTCTACCTTTATCTGCCACATTTCTTCAAAGATATCAAGATATTCTGAAGATATGACAAGCATATGATTAAACTTAATGGTATCTAAGGTAGAAAGACATCTTACTGAAGAACAACGTAATAGTTGGAAGTTTTAAAAATTAATTGCTCTTCTGGCAAACCCAAAGAAAATTAAATTAAATTAGATACTGGAACTTTTTCATTAGAAGCCTCTGGCAAAATAAAGTTAATAGATTGAAAGCTTTCTGCAATTAAAAGTGACAGGTGCATTGCCTTCTCTAAGCTTTTAAATCACATCTGTCAAAAGGCCTCCTAAAATGCATTTTTTAAACTCTTTCCAATCTACTCAACTTCTTTGAATCAAAATACTGTAGAATAATTGAAGATTTATCATTTAAGAAAGTTAGAATTTTATGGCAGTAAAGAGATAAATTTTCTATAAAGTTATTCATCTAACATATTTAGGAAAATGTATTAAATCACACGGAGTAATCTTGTGATTCATTCTCTTAATTTATCAGCATGATTTTGTGCGTTAATTCTTATCCAATGCATGAGAAATACACAACTTGATTTCCATAATTTAACACAAAAACAAAAATACAGGTCAGTCACAAGGTAGTTTCTGAATTACATATTCTTCAAACTTTTCAAGATAGAAAAGTGTCTGTCTCGAAAACAGACAGAAAAGTTTAACAAGTTCAGCTTCTGCTGTGCTGCTTTAAGAGTGAAAACATGGTTTTAGTGAAAAGACATTCCAATAGTGTGAGCAAAATGGAATATATTTCACATCTGCCCACATAGATCTGACCCAGTCCTTTACCTCTCATTCTTGACTTGCAAAAGCAGAGAAATCATTTACATAACGCTCTAATATCTTCTGACATAAACAAAACAACAAACTAACCAACTTTTTCTTTTGTTTTGTTTGGGTTTTTACTAATCAATAATCATAAATTCAATATATTAGAATTACAGAACATCTCTGGGAATTCTTGTCGTTCTCATCAATTCTGAGACAAAAAAGCATTACTCTTCAAAGCTCTTAATTAACAACTAGATGAAAATCTAATATATTCTTCTAAGATGTGACAATATAAAGTTTATGGGACAACACCTTTAGAGATGAAGGTTGAAAAATGATGCTAGCCCATTCAAAGGTAGGTCTCAGGCTGAGAATGTAGAAATGCCTGCATTAGAAATAGTGCGGCCAACAGGAGCATGGAGGTAATCATCCCCATGTACTCAGCACTGGTGAGGCTGCACCTTGAGTACTGTGTTCAGTTTTGGGCCCCTCACTACAGGAAAGACATTGAGGCCCCAGAGCGTGTCCAGAGAAGGGCAACGAAACTGGTGAGGGGTCTGGAGCACAAGTCCTATGAGGAGTGGCTAAGGGACCTGGGATTGTTTAGTCTGGAGAAGAGGAGGCTCAGGGGAGACCTCATTGCACTCTACAGATTCCTGAAGGGAGGCTGTGGTGAAGAGGGGTTTGGCCTCTTCTCCCAGGCAATGAACAGGACCCGGGGAGATGGCCGCAAGTTGCACCAGAGGAGATTTAGGTTAGACATGAGGAAGAACTTTCTCTCTCAGAGAGTGGTCAGGCACTGGAACGGCCTCCCCAGGGAGGCGGTGGAGTTGCTGTCCCTGGCAGTGTTCAAGAGGCATCTGGATGAGGAGCTGCACGATATGATTTAGTGCTTGTGGTAGCAGTGGTAATATGACGACGGTTGGACTAGATGATCGTACAGGTCATTTCCAACCTTGTGATTCTATGATTCTATGAAATAATCTCATTCCATTTTGGGAAAGCACCGAAGCAGCTACAATTTAAAATATGTGCTTAAATCCCATTGAATTCATTGTAACAACTCACATACTTCGTGTTAAATACGTGATCAGACACGTTTTTTAATCTACTTACTATTTTCTGAAAAATAGTACTGAACAGATTTTAAATTATTGGTTTTCTTAACTGAAGGATATATGAAAAACAAAACAAAACCAAACCTTCCTGAGTTATAGTGAATGAACAAGAAAATAAGACAACAACTTGCCATTCCGTGTTTACTTTATAAATTTTCTTACCCTAAGAGGAATTATTATATACCATGTTGTGACACCACAAATAAGATTGAAGGAAACTGGACCATGTCTATGTCATTATAAAAATTGTTTAATATTTAATAAAGCAGTTAAATTTTTCTAGTTCTTTTTTTGAGTTTTCTTTGAGAGCTGGGGTTGGAACTTGTCAAGTTCTCAGATACTTCCTATAAAAAAAAGTAAGATTTTCATTCAAAATTTGCCAAGTCCTTATACACTTCTCTTTAGCACTACGAGTGACAATGTGATTTTTCTCAATAATGTATATAGAAATCTCCTCCAGGTCATGCCTAAGCAGAGGAAAGTTTTAGTGCGGGAAGGCCAATATTTTGAGTGAATTAATATACTTTTATATACTGTGTCCAGTCTGCATCCCTGCAAAATAACAGGACTTGTGATACCAAGGACATCATAGTAGGTGGAAGGTTTTCTGGAAAGAATA